TTCCTTTGATTCTATCTTTTTTATCATTAGCGATTCTCTTTCTTTTGCTCCTCTTGTGGTTTATAACAAATACTAAAGACCTCTCTCATGAACACCATCACCACGTCGCCTGCTAATATGGCCCTAGCCGTCGCGACTATGGCTGCAACGACAAAAATAAATTCAGGAGGATACACTGTAATGTGTCCAAATTGCCTTACCGACGATTCCAATATTGTTCACGACTTTAAGAGCGGCGATCTTGTATGCACCAGCTGCAACTCTGCCATTGGCGACCGACTCTTGACATCGTATAAAAAGAACTCTAGTCCTCGGGGATCAACAGCCACATTAGTATCGGTGCCTAGTAGCCACGAGGATAGTGACTCCAACAGCAGCAATAGCAGCAAGGATGCGGTCCTGTCCAGGGCACAGCGGAGCAGATCGAACGGCAGAAAGGCCAGTCGTGATGCATTGAAACGGCGGGAGCGCGGACTGGTGCGTGCATACAGCGGGATCAGCGCAATGTGTGCAAACATGGATGTTTCGATGAGTATAAGCGAGGCCGCCCGCAAACTGTACCTACGCGTCGACAAGGAGGACCTGCATCGCGGCAAAAACATTGAGGCAATTGCGGCAACCTGCATATTCCTTGCATGCAGGCAACAGGCAGCCCCGCGTACATTCAAGGAGATCTGTGCACTGACGCATGTGCCACGCAAGGAGATTAGCCGCATGTTCAAGCTATTGAAGGAGAAACTTGGCGAAGATGTCGGTGCAATGTTGCCTGACGACCTGTTGGCTCGCTTCTGCTCGACTCTGTCGCTGAGCTTGCATGCGCAGTCGTGTGCCGCTATGCTCAATGATGCGGTCAAGCTACATGATACGCTTTCGGGAAAGAGCCCAGTGTCTGTAGCAGGCGCTTGCATCTACATGGCGTCACATCTGGTGGGTCAGCCCAGGGACACTGCGGTCATCTCCCATGTTGCCGGAATCAGTGAGGGCACGATTAAGAACTCGTACAAGCTGCTGTTTGCCGCTCGCTCTCTCCTTGTTACGCAGCAGATGCTCGATTCAAATGCACATGTATCAGTCGCTCTGCTTCCGATTCCCTAGTTGAACTCCCCTTATCTTCCTCTTTTTCGGACTTTCTTTGTACAAAACTACTCTCTCTACACACACCTCCCTTTACATCTTTCTATCTTTAATTTTTTTGGTGAACAAGAAATATTTAGCTATAAAGTCACGCAGTGCTCGTTGAAATGATAGTTGCTCTTCCCTTTTTCTTGTTTCTCTTACACCTCTTTTCTCACATCCATCATCTTGCACACGATAGTTAATAAAAAACACCGTAAGCATAATATGGAAGACCCGTTTGCCATAAAGCTCATATGCAAGGACTGCCGCAACCCAGTCCCGAACCTCATTGAGGATTTCAAATCCGGCGACTATGTGTGTGGTGACTGTGGTCTAGTGCTAGGCGACCGTATCGTTGATACACGTTCAGAATGGCGCACCTTCCAGGAAAGCGATGGTCCCGACCAGTCGCGTGTTGGTGATGCTGCCAACCCATTCCTGGACGGCGAACAGCTAGACACGGTGATTGGCAGTAGCAGCAAGGGTGCTGGAAACATGCGTGGTCTCCAACATACTCAGGCTCGTGCTGGCGCTACTACCAAAGGAAACCAAACGCTTGCTCAAGCATACAGGGAAATATCCACCTTTTGTGACATGTGCGAGATGCCCCGGTCCATTGCCGATGCTGCAAAGCACATGTACCAAAAGGCCGAATCCGAGTACTTTGCGCAAAAGGGCAAAAAGGCAAACGTTCTTATAACCGCTTGCATCTTCAGCGCCTGTCGCCAAGAAGGCGTCCCGCGCACGTACAAGGAAATATGTTCGCTAACTGGCGTGAACCGCAAGGATGTCCGAAAGGTATTTACGCTTCTCCGCCGCATTGCAGGTACTCGCACCACTGTTACATCATCCGACGATCTCATCATGCGCTTCAGCTCCGCCTTGGATCTTGACAACGCTACAAGCGCCATTGTTCGCATGTTGTCGCACAAGGCTAAAGATCTGGACTCCATCTCTGGCAAAAATCCAATCACCATTGCCGGTTCATGCATCCACTTTGTCTCCCAGCTCATCGGAAAGGAGCTAAGCCCGGAAAGTATTTCCGCAACAACGGGTATCAGCGAGTCAACCATCAAATCCACACACCGGATCCTCTACGACAACAGAACAGCAATTCTAACCCCTGAAATTCTCTCTCGCTGCACACCTGGTGCTGAAAGGAACATAAAGCCCTAATAAAATATTCACTCAAACCAGATGCAAAAAGTTGGTTGGAGAACCTGGGTATCGATCCCAGTACTTCACGCATGCGAAGCGCGCGCTCTGCCATTTGAGCTAGATCCCCAGCTCGGTTCCGATCCATTTTTCATTTCTGAAAACTAAAGATTCTGAATACTACTCATGTTTGCCAGGGATTCAATACGTTTGCTTTTTAGGCACAGATTTTTTTTTTTTTAAAACCCAATAAGGACTTAACATTTTTTTTTAAATTCGAATTCAAGCACCAAACAATCCACGAAGCCCCGCTATGTCTGCCACCATCGTGACAGGCAACCAGTCTGCCAACCCTCTAGGGGCAAGGCCACCAGACCAGGGCCAGGTCTCCTATCGCCTGGCAGCACGTTCATCGGAAGTTCGAAATGAGCACCTGGGGGCAGTTCCAACTGTCGCGTTCAGTGCCTTCAACCTTCTGGATGAGGAGGAAGTCGACCTGGATGCACCCCCAGCCCAGATAGTCCCACGTCTACCAGGCCAGCATGCCCTTGCATTTATGGTTCCACCCAACACAACCACCTGCAATGTGAGTGCAATACTCAACGACATCCAGTTTGAGGGCTTGTTTACTGTTAATGTAAACAAAATATGCAATTTTGCGACAATCGTTTTTTCAAACGCAGAAGCAGTGGACATCATCCGATCAGCGAAGATCAAGATCGGGGATTACCAGGTCAGACCAGTGCGTCTGATCAAATACAAGGAATCCATCTTCTGTGTCAGAGTTCTGAACACCAACACCAGCCCTGATCCCGTGATCAAATCTAGGAAGGTCGCGGAAGCAATGTCCCAGTTTGGCAAGATCCTCGAAATCGAACTGTACTATGAAGCAGGAAACGTTCGCCACAGGGGTGACACTGTCAGCCTCATCATGGACATAGGAGATCGCAGCGAACTGCCAACCCATGTCACTATTGATGATGAGGAAGCCAGCATCTCTGCGTCATGCTGCCCAATAACCTGCAACTACTGCAAGAAGCCAGGACATGCCAAGATGCAATGCCCATCATGCCCAGGAAACAAGAGGCAAGGTCGCCCAGAGCCAGCATACCCTGTGTACCCAGGCGCAAGCAGTGGTCTACCCAACATCACTCCACCAGCCAACCGCAACAGCCACAACAGGCCCAGCAAGAGAACCAGAACTGATTCAGGACTCAACTTGATGCTACACACTGCAGCAGACAAGGCCACCAGCACCATGGCATCATCCACCAGCAGGGAGCCTGCAGTTCGCAGCACCAAAGCCGCAAAGCCTGGCAAACAGCCAGCCGCAAAGAAGGCAAATGCTCCTGCAACTCCAGCCACCAAAAAGACCACGAATTTTGCCGCAGGCCCTGACAATGTACAGTCAGCAACAAGTCCCGTGACCCCAACCACTGCAAAGGCAGCAAAGACTCCTGCGATTCCAGCTGCTAAACAGTCAGCAAATGCCAGCACCAGCAAGGTAGCCATGGCCAGTTTTGTTACTGGCATTTTCAACCCAATTCCAGCCAATCCGAACACCAGCATCCCAAACAACCAGGCGACTGTCATGTCCGCATCCAACAGTGGTAAAGGTAAGAGCGTAGCCCCATGCCATGACGGGGAAGAAGTCATGGAAGTGTATGAAGATGAGGTCCCCTCCCCACCCCATTCCCCCCAAGAGGAGCAGCCGATGGCAGCTGATAACTCGGATGAAATGGCTGTTTCTCCTCCCCCCTCCCCCCTCTTATCAGCATCCAAGGAGCCGGATGATAGAAGCTGCTCTGCTCAGACATCCCAGAAAGGAGTCTCTGTTGTGACGATGGTTACAAACACAGACGACAAGGGATGCCAGCGTGTAGGCATTTCACGCCTGCAGGTGAGTGACAGTGGCCCGTCGTCCAACTAAAACCCCCTCCCCCTTCTATATTAAAATGAAATTGAAAATCACAACGTGGAATGCCCAGGGACTCCGTAACGACGCAAATCGTTCAATGTCCCTGGACTTTTTATTAAATATTACAAACACTGACGTTGCTATACTGCAGGAAACACACTG